GGTTGGTTACTTACTGTATAAAACGGTGGATATTTCAGCCAGTCTTTCCATGTTTTATCGTGGTTTTCGGTACTTCGATCACTTATCTCTATTGCTTCCCTGCATGACGTTGATTGTGGACTTGTTATTAATAATGATTCTTCTTGTCTTTCACGGGGTGAAGTTTCAACATTCGATAGCGAAGATACTTCTATCATAGCTTCAGGCGAGAAAAAATGGCATTAAATTTCAGTCATACTAATCATTTCCAAATAGAGCGTTGCAATGTTATACTATTGATTTATGACATTTTATAAAATTTTTTATATATAACGCGCGCTCTGATTGGCTGACGAGCGTGTTTATATCAGAGGACAGAGACACGGCTTACCGGCAAAATGTTCTTTTCGCTCGAAATATTTTATAAAAGAAATATAAAACGGCCGCTTGTGTCTCTGTCCTCTGATATAAACACGCTGGGAGTTGAAAAATACTCGAAAAGCAAGAGAAAGCTTGCTTCTCTCGTGTTTTTCGAACTCCCACCGTGTTTATATCAGAGGACAAAGACACGCGCGCCGTTTTAAATTTCTTAAATAAAACATGGATCGGAACACTTTTTGTTTCTTCGCAAACTTGCCGTACAAAACGAATGACTTGTACATCATGCATGAACTCGCTGCATTTATGCATCCGATGCCATCCAGGCAATCCAAGGGCTATAAAGTTACATAACACGGAACAGTTTGTGTTTCTTCGCAAACTTGCCGTACAAAACGAATAACTTGCACATAAATCATGGACCCGTTGCATTTATGAATCCGATGCCATTCAGGTAATCCGAGGGTTATAATGTTGGGCCCATGTGAGAGGAGAAAGGGACGTTGTCCTTGAACTTTTTTTCGTGCTGCTTCTAAACTAAAAGGAATTTATCAAAACTAAACAACATGCCTCTATTCTGGTCTTCATCATTTGGTAAACAAGGCGTGTTGTTGTTTTCCCTGGCCGGTGGTGTTGGTGGTGGTTCCACTGTCAATACGTGGAATATGAGATTGAAAAAGTTTCCAACAGAGACTATTATGATACCAAGATACTGGAGATATAAAAAAATGTCACTAAAACAGCAAAAAATATTTTTACCATTAATTTGCAATATTTTTATTGTAAATTTTATCGATTTATGATTGGTCAAGAGACGTCGTAAATGTAAGCACATGCCACGATCACGTGATTGATCTTCTTTTTCTGGGATTGATCGATATCCAATTGTAGAATATTTTTTTGGTGGTAAAAAACAATTTTATGTTTCTCTTGGTATGTCTTCTGGTTACCACGTTGAAAAGAAAAGTGTAGGCATCTGTTAAATATCTTTGGCTCTAACTGATTTTCTAAAAGAAACGTTGATCGGCAACATAAACTGCAAYTCTAATATTGCACTCCTAGCTTCGATCATTCTTACCATGAATTGCTTCCATACTTTAGGAGACAAAGACCCTTCTTTGTTTTGTCCAAGTAGAACCCACGTGATAACGTAGATGAATATGCCGCAAAAGAATGTTACCGCTGATCTAAAATGGAGATATAAATCCCGGCCAGTTGCTTCATAAATACAACATAAAAACTTAGAATACATATCCATTATTCTTATTTTAAGTTTTAAATATTTTGATGTAAACATTCTTTATAGCTAATCAGGACTAAATGAAACGGAACGCTTTACAGAATTTTGTGATTGAATGCACTGATTTTCTAATTGATATGCAAAAAAACTAAAAAGCTAAAAAAACCCATCCAGCACCAGATCTCGACTATATTATTCCGAATAAAGAAGAATTGGAAGGCCAAATGCTACGCGCGTCAATGGAAGCTAGGATGTCGTGAAAAATTCGTAAAAGGGAAGTCCGATTTTGTTTCTTGTTCTTCAGCAGCAGCGAACGGGATCGCACAAACCTTTTAATAATCAATTAGCGGGATTTTTCAGAAATATGTTGAATCAGTTTTTGTGTGTTAAACATAAAATGTAGAATTAGCGTATGTTAGATAGTTTGACATGTCTTTGTAGCATAAGCCGTCATACTGTATAATATTCATTATTATTATTATTATTTTATTTTGTTTATTTATTTTGTACTAACCTCAGAGCGCTTAACTCAACAGTTTCACTCGYCTTCTTGCAGATGTCAGGAATCAAAGAAAGGTGTCCGATCTGAGTTGAGCCCCAACTCATGCAGAAAACCAATGCTAAAGAAATATAGTACCCAAGTTTTGTGCTTGATGGGCTCTCCTCGCATCCAATGCATCTCATAAAGATCATGGGAAAGGTAATTGAAACACCTAGAGTCCCGATAAGGTGCCATRTTTTGCGGCGTCCATAACAGCTCACTGTTCTATCACAAAGCTGTCCTATAACTGGACTTGATACAGCCTCGATAATCTGTCCAGCGAGGACTACATACCCAGCATGAGGATTAGAAAGTCCAGCTACTTTTGTAAGAAATACCAAGACATARCTAAACCATGCACTTCCAGCAAGATCGTTCAAGACATGTCCACATAGGAACGAAATCTTCTGCTTTCGTGGGAGCCTCTCGCCCGGCAAGGACGGCGGAGAGTTTGGCCGACAACAAAACGTCATTTCTTGAATGATGCAGTACCCTCAGTTTACTGGAAATGRTTTTAGTTTTTCTTCCCAAATGACTGACTAATGCTTTCGCTTTGTTTATCGATAAGGTCTGTAAAATACCGGTAGAGTGAATCAAAACCGTATCTGACTGCGTCGTATACAGGTCTCTGTATTTTAGTAATGCCTTGTGGTTTTGATACGCTTTAGTTCGAATTCAACTTTTGTAGAAAATCAATGCAATTTATCCTGGAAAAAAGGATTCAATATCAGTGGGCTCAATCCTGTTATTACCATTAAATGTTTCAAATATAGCTTTGTAATAAAAACTAGTTAGTAACTTTTGTAATTTTTTTGTGAAAGAGCAGTTCAAACGGTTTAGATTCTGCTTATTTTCCAAATGGATGTAATTCTGACTGAATTGTTCTCGTATTAACGTTAATAAAAGTTAAAATAGACTTAATTCGTAAATACGAAATAGTTCAAATGCTTAATTTCTGCACTAGCTCTCTTGAATAGGTCCATTGTTAATTAGAACAAGAAAGACTCTTGCTGTTTGTAAATCATTAAACATTCATGTTCAATAGTGAGAGTAAACAAGAGGTTTGAGGTTTTTGTGGAACTTTACTTTACCCAGTCAGGAGAWGTTTTAGATTAAGAAATAATYACAGGCCGATTATGACGATTTTTGTGTTCAATCTTAATGTCAATTATTTGAGCCTGCYGCGTAGAAAGACAGCGGTAAAAGCTGCGAGGAATCTACCTGCTGTGACGCCTGCTTAGTGCTAATGCCCCTGCTATGCAAGAGCAGTAGGATATATTGCGTTTGCACGCGATCGTGTAAGCAGTCGAGTACAATTTTTAACTACATTACCGTTAATGCAATAAAGAACCAATTTGCAAATTATTTGACCTTTTTTATTACCTTTTTTGTTATACTTCTAAAAAGGTCTTAAAAAGAACGAGCATGTTTGGTAAATAGCCATTTTCTAGCCATTTTCTACAAACAGCTAAATAGCGGCCGTTTAACACCGAGGAATATTGAGTAGCCCTTTGACTGATAAGGCATTGCAGACATCGCGGCCTGGCTACTTAGCTATAGAACTCAATAACTCCCCAAAAGCCTTTGGTATTATGTGATAAACGGAATGTAAAATTTGATTGATTGATTGATTGATTGATTGATTGATTGATTGATTGATTGATTGATTGATTGATTGATTGATTGATTGATTGATTGATATTTTAAGCAATGTAAATATTGGATCTACTTTAAGCACTGTTTGATGAGAATTTAGAATGCAGAGGTTGATGGGTAATTCATTTTAGGTTAGTGCACATTTCCACATTCTCGGAACCCATTCTTCGTCATTCCCAGGCTACGAACTCTCTCAGACCTTGTCGGCTCGTTTCAACATTCAATGTGTTGCCAGTAAACTAATCAAACAATTAGAGAATACGAGTCGATCTATCGACCAATCAATCAAAAGCAAGCTCAGATCTAATAAAAGATCTAATGACGATTAAAATCGTCCCAAAACTCATTTGATATTATATATCATTGTGAAGGCAAAACACCATCCCATGACAGACCTTGACATGCGATCGACCTTAGCTGATGACTTCAGGAACAATGTCTATCAGATCTTTCTTGACAAAATATCAATTACACCTGAATTTTTGATTCAATATGACAAGATAGAATCCGTATCTCCAAGTGACCATGCAATATTTTGTATATAATTTCAATCATCTATAATCAAATTATATCTATGCTGCAATATGCACAGGCAACGCGATAATGTTTACTTATAACGGTAACGWGACGTTTTAGAAAGTGAGGTGCATCATGGGTAAAATATGATAAACACTGTGCTGTCGATAGAATTATTTGTTGGATTTTGTGTTTGTTGAAGTGACGAGCCTTGATCACTCACTCGAATCTAAACTGCGTCATAAGAAAACTAAAAAAAATATACGATGATGTTAATGTTGGAGCATTTTCGATTCTTTAAAAGTTTCTTCATCCTATAATAAAGTGATTCAAAACTACTGCAGTAAAGCACCATATCATTTTTCATCAATTTAACAAAATGTCAGGGAGACTTCGACTCGTAGTCTACATTGAGTCTAATGAACATGCCGAAACCTGTTTAAAATTGAGCAAACAAATATGTCGCGAAACGTCATATCATAGGAATGCTGTTTTCGGATGGTCAGACACCAAAAGAAAAATTTTGTAGGCCTAATTTAAAAGATCGAAAGCATCATGTGAAAATCAAGGATAAGAACGAATGAGAATAGCTATAGAGGACGGAAAAATCCATTATGTTGGGATAGTCACAAGTGCGATGTCAAGTCAGGTGTCAGTGAAAATCGTAGCTTACACGTCTTTTTTATTGCGCTTGCTGTAACAGTGATTCATGGCTCAACTACAAAGGCTTATTCTTCTCTCTATATATGCTTTACAAAATCAGACTAAACCCAAATAATATYTAAATATCAACTAAAAACAATAACCAAATATGGAATGTCTCGGTACTTAGTAGGGGAGTCCCCCGATCAGCACGGGACGAGATTGGCTATATCTATATAAAGATCGATGATATAATTGAATCTAAATTGCTTAAACTAAATTGGACATAACTATGATGATGATTCTGATGAATTTGTAGTGCTTCTAATTCGATACTACAACGATCTATGGGTATTGAAACTTCCTAGTAAATTAGAATTATTTCTGGTATTCTGGTATATGACTTGGCATGTTTCAATTCCTTGAACACACTATAGAAGTGCTGACTAATCACTTAAAGATTGAGTAAGGTTTCAGTATCAACTTCTTAACTATCAATTTCAACAAAACGTCTGGGAGGCGTAGTGTAATCATTAAACGGTTAGCAATAAATAAAAATACGTGGGGACGAATAAACGACTGTCGTAGAAAAGGAAGGAAGAGAAATTCAAATATCAGGGAAACGTGGTCTAAAACAGGGGAACGGACGCCTTAAATTAAACGGAGTGGCAAAGGAGGTTACTCCCCTATTTATTTATATTTCGTTGAAATAGCATGCCTCAACTCTACGTCGGTTATGAAAGGCTGAAAGACGAGAGACAAGCTGGTTGGTTAAACATTAAACGAAGTACTTGGGGACAGATAAACGGCTGTCGGAGAACAAACCAGAAAAAATAAATTCAAATAAAATATACCATGATGTCTAATATAATAAATGCATATCGTGTTATAAGGTCTTACTTGGGGCTCGCAGAAGCTAGTAAAGTTTCTAGTGGCCAAACACCTCTGAGATCACTCCATAGTGGTACGTGTTAACGAAGTGCGGCAAAATAGGTGTTTCTAAAAGTATTTATGTCCCTGTATGCGCAGGGAGTTGACTTCACAGCCAGGGGTAAATTATTTCTAGGAATGAGCTGCAACCCTTGGCCTCCCGAGGATGACATTTTCAATTCAATATGACAAGATCACATCCGTAAGTCCAAGCGACCATGCAATATTTTGATTATAATTTTGATCATCTATAAGCAAATTATATCTATGCTGCAATATGCAGACGCATCATGATAATGTTCTTCTCACTAGTAATGGTTTTCGTAGAAGTGTCGATGGTTAATGACATTAATTTCTCCGCTTATAAGTATCGATCACGTGAATAATGTTAACTGCGTCATAAGCTTAAACTAAATTCAGTGATTGTTTATAAAAAAACACGACGATGTTGTTGTTGGGGCATTTTCTAACGTTTCTGTAAAGAATTATTAATCTTCTTCATCCTTTAATAAAGTGATCCAAAACTACTGCAGTATAGGACTTACTGGCATATATTCTTTTTCATCAAATTCAAAAAAAATTTCAGGGAGACTTCGTTATCTAAAAACATGCCGAAACATGTTTGATTAAAATTTTAAGTCCAAAGTGACACTTGGTGTTTGTTAACGTTATTTCTAGGAATCGAACGTGAAACGAGCGACAACAGATTACCACTAAAAATATATATATGTTTATATAACGGTTAACTCACGCTAAACTTTGGACTGGAATTTAAACAAGTGTCGACATATCATTAAACTACGAAGTCTCCATGACATTTCCCAGTTGTTGAAAATAATGAAAAACAATATGCACAGACCAGCAGTCACAGACCAGTTGTTTGGAATAGAGTATAACCTTATTCGACCTAGCAAACAAAGATGTTGTGAAATTTAACTTTATATCATACGAAGGCTTTCCTTGCATGGTGTAGCACTGATAACAACATATTTGTATAATAATAGATCGAAAACATCATGTGAAAATCAAGGATAAAACGAAATGAGTGATACAGTAAGAGCCTACTTGTGAACAAGTGGATATGAAATATGACGTCAAGGGTACAATGTAAATAAGAACACAATCAGACTGAAAATAAAAAATAAAATTTAGAAAAACAACATTCATGTATCAGACCTGCACAATCTATATTATTATTWTTATCATTATTATTAATGAAAAACAATATACACAGACCAGTAGTCAATGACCAGTAGTTTATTATTATTTTATTATTGTTATTTTACTATTATCATTTATAATGAGTGTGTCAATGGGGGTACCCAAAAGTCAGTTAACTATTAACCCCATTGACAACCTCTCTAATTATAATGTGTGGTGCTCAGTGTGTTCTGCAATAAGCACGTGTTGAAATTCTTAGAAATTCTAATTCTAGGAACACCTTGATAACAAGCTGCAGTAGAAATTCTTAGAATTCTTATTCTAGGAACACCTTAAGAGCACGCTCAGGCTGATTTTTATCAAGCACATATTAAATAAGAACACAATCAGCCTGAATTCCAAATGTGTGCTCTCATATGCAGGGTCTGAATGTAGTGTACGAAAAACTGATGCATCATGGGGGAGTGACAAGTGCGCGATGTAAAGACAGTGGACCCGGAAGCCTAATACTTGTATACGTCATAAGGAATAGACAGACAATGTGTACTACCAATAAACTACAGTGTAAGCTACGTCGATGTTTCTAAAGAAACAGTTGTGAAATAAGATAAATTATACACTATAAAAAGTATGATAGATACCTTATTGACGTTTCGGACGTTGGTTCTTCGTCGGAGGATGAACAAAGGACAAACATACTTTTTACGGTGTAAAGTTTATCTTATTTCAGGACTGTTAAGAGTAGACAGAGTATGAGAGTATGCCAGAGGGTTTTTTTGTGTGTTTCCTCAGCTGCAATACGTCTAATCGCATAAACTCTACGTGACCTACGTGATATAAAAGGCTAAGAGACGAGAGACAAGCTGCTCCGTTAAGCAATAAACGTGGATTAATGGAAACTACATCGTTAGTTGTGAAATACGGTGTAAAACTCATCTTATTTCACAAATTTAAGGCATAAACGAGTAAGTGGGGACGGACAAACGGCTGAGAAGAAATTCAAACATAACATGTCGTGTTGTAAGGTCTTGTGGGGCTCGCAGAACCCGGAAAGTTTTCTGGCCAAACACTTCTTTGCCGGAACCATCCATAGTGGTAGGCAACAGGGAAGCGAGACAGAATAGCTTGCGTGCAGACAGTTGTTTGCGATCATGTACCTGTATACAACTCATATATGACCAATGGGTAGTTATAGCACAGGAAGCCAACATTTATGAGACATAAAAAAATCAATGCGGATCGCCTGACATAAGATTGCTTGACTTCAAGTAAAAATCAGTAGGCGTCCGCGTATATTATGTGAACGGTTTTTCTCTATCTCTGCAGGGTTCTTATACTGAACCGTCTCGGATTAAAGTTCAAGGTCTTTAAGCAATCCCATGACAGGCGGATACACATTGATTTTTTATATCAATAATAAATCTGGGGTCCCTGTTACTTTCAACAACGATTGTTTAAAAATATTAAAATAATATTATATTAAGAAATTTTCCCTAAGATAACTGGCTCATTAAAAGAAATCTCTGTCATTTCCGGTAAAAGTTAATCATTGTTGGTCAATCTATGAAACTCAGACTGTAAAGGACGAATTATTTTATTATCGTAATATGAGGATAGTTCATCCTGAACACAACAGGAGCGTTTTACCAGTCAGTRGTAATCAGAGTGCGGCGTTTTACGATAAAAATGTAATAACAATTTCGCACACGAAACGACTATAAGGCTCTTATGTCAGTCAGAATTGTCATCATGGTCTTACCTTGTAATCGTTTTTCAGCTAATTTCTTTGGACACAACAAACTTTCCGCTCATTCCATAGCACCACAACAATCTTAATCTATTTGCAGCCCTGTTCTTCCATAGTTTCAGCCGGACAAATTGAAGGACGCAAACTTAAAAGGGCCAWAGAACTGGCATTTCATTCAGCAAGGACTGCATGTGCATGTAAAATCTCAAATATATCACCATTGTTGACTAAATCCATGTTTGTTTTGATTGCTGCGTACAAACGGCACTGTGGGAGGGAGGGGGTRAGGWGRTTTAAGATGTTGTGAATTCGAACTAGAATAACACAGGAAGCCCAAACCAAGGTGGACATTCACCTAGTCAAAACGTTTTTTAGATTCCATTTACAAGAAAGTACAATAGGGAATACTCAAATAGATAAAATGTCATAAAAAATCAACTTTGTTTTAAGAGGGTAAACACGTGCCGGTAAAGAACTGATGAACTTATATGAACTCCCTGCTGAACTCCCTCTATACTCTCACACTCACTACCTCTACATTAAGTATTTTAGCACAACAACACTCCTCACATGTTGATTTTTGCTGAGGAAAGAAAACCGGAGGATACGGAGAAAAACCCGTTTCTGGTCATTTGGTGGGCTATAATAGCCCATGCATTGTGTTCAAAATCGATGATTTGGGGGCATTTGGATGGGTTATAGCAAATGCATTTTGGCCAAAAATCGACCATTTCTGGTCATTTTGGTAGGCTATAGCCCATGCATTTTGTTCAAAAATTGATTATTTGGGGGAATTTGGATGGGTTATTAGCCATTTTTGTGTTATAAAATGAATTGTAATTTCTGTCATATTGAGACAATCGAAAAACTAACCATATCACTAAAAAGACTTAATCGACTTTAGTGTAGGTTCCAAGTTACAGATCATTTGGACAAATATTCAATTAATGAGAAGCCGTGCAATTTACAGAGAATGTATGGGGATTTTGACCGCGTCCCCCAAAACAATACATTCCCTGTTAATTTGATGAAACTAGGAATAAATACTGTTCAGCTAGTTTTTATCCAAATGTTTTGAAACTTGGCATATTTACTAATTTTTGGGTGTCCTTTCATCTGGTGGGGTTTGTTTCGTGATTAGATCAATATTTCTTTGATTAGTGCCCAGTCCCCTGCGCAACGTCGAAATGGCTAATAGCCCATGCATTTTGATAAAATTCATGATTTTCGGCTATTTTGGTGGGCTATTGACCATGCATTTTGATCAAAAATCGATCATTTTTGGTCATTTTGGTGGGCTATAGTCCATGCATTTTGATCAAAAATCGACGATTTTCTACCATTTTGGTAGGATGATATTCTCTTATTTTGATGGGCTAAAGCTGTAAAAAGTGAAATTAACCAAATGAAATTAACCAAAGTTAACTTGTGTTGGTTAATAAGCTTAATGTAAAGCAACAACAACAACAACAAAAAGAGGTATATATTAACCTTTAATTTAATGAAAGACTAATACAATATGTAATCATAATCATGATGGAATTTATAAAGTTTTTAAAAAAAATTATACTGCATATTCCATCCCGAAATGCATTGTTACTATTGGAATCCTCTTATGTACCGTTATAAATGACAATCAATTATAAGCAAAATTGCTTTGTGTCGAAAGTATAGAGCTGTGTAGTCTCTCTGAAACAAGGAAATCCCCTTTTCGTATTCATACAACGATCCACAATGMATTTCATGGAATACAGGGAAGTAACGTCCTACACGCAAATACGACAACCCGACTTTGATGTTACTACAGACTTGTTTGGCAGTGCTGATAGTGCGAACTTGTGAACAAAATGGTCTACTGAATGGTTTTCTGAAAAAGCTGTATACTGATTTTATTTAAAATTTGTGATTAGAATATAATTGCTTGTCTTGTTTTAATTGGTTATATCTAACATTGTGGCTTTTCATAGAAGTATAGTTTTGCACGCTTGAACTCATTGCAGTCAAGGTGGTGATCACCTATWAGAATAAAGAAAACAAACAAAAATGTGTTAAAAAATATCCTTCAAAAATATCCAAGATYATGACCAGCGCAACACTAACCAATCAACAAATCAAATAAGCAAACGGCTTGAAATAAAAAAAGCAACCAAAAACAACGTACATACAGAGACTTGAACTTGATTATGGCATAAAAGGTATTATGGTAAAAATAATAAATAGAGCATTTCCAATGACTGCTATCTTGARTTATTGCTTCAAATAAACAAAGCGAATAGAAGCAGCGTATTAACAAGCACGTAGCGGGATCCCTGTGTCGCTGGATCATATTATGTGGTGACGCTTCGAGCTTTTGTGAGGTCGTCAGCGACGGATGATTCAAGATGAAGGTCGATTRAATTAGATATACCGTTCAAGTCCTGTGCGTCGAAGATTTTGTCGACTCCTCGGTCGGATTTTGGCATATTTGCTCTGAACTCAGCCCTTGAGATTCGCCCGTCTTTATTGGTGTCGTAGAGAGAGATCTTCCATGGCTGAGGAACGATAAAATCCATGGTAGTTGTTCCTTTAGGGTCCTCAAAAACTGAAGATTCATCCTKTTGGAATTCAGATAAAAAGATCAAGTCTTTCAAAAAATTAGCGAGATATAAAAAACAGYATTCTAGATTAAATGTTGCTGCACTGCGAATCACAATAAAAKACAGACAGATGCCCCGAATGGCGGCAACATGAATCACACCTTTCATAGTCATAGCATAGTGGCTATAGCCTTAGCTTTAGACACTAGCCACAAAAAGAAATATTATACCTGCAGAAGCGGTTCGTCTCCAATTTTCTTGCATATTTTGTTACAAGCACGATGRCAWACGTACTTGGCGACGTGRTTTATYGTTACRTAAGAGCATCCYTTTACTTTGCACACCACTTTACAAATAGGTTTTAGAATTTTTYGCACGCGAATTTTCCTCAGTCTAACTCGCCATCCATTCGCGTTAGGAAGAAGAAGGCACGTCATAAAGCAAAGAAAAAACAGAAATTTGATATTCATACTTGAACACAGATATTAGAATTGCTGATACTTGCAAGAAGACTGTAGTTAGTACGTACACGAGTACGTAAAATCGATAAGAAATACTAGACTATGGAAGAATTRTTGTAGCTTGAGCTATACAAGACAGAATAAAGTTCCAATATATTCTTGTTGGTTTTTATACCATTATCAGTTTCCACTCTCGTGGATAACATTTACTTTCGATTCTTTGCTATATATTTATAGTGAAAACATTGCAAAATTCAAAAAATAGTAGAGGTCTTGTTTATTTATAATAAAATCATTTAAAAATACAAAACTTAGTGAAGATTTTGTTTATGCATGAGTTACATGATAGAATGAAACCACGGTGTTCTTTTATAAAARACGGTCTTTCACAAATTTATGGACAAATGTTTTCATCGGCTCCCATTGGTCTAGAGTCGACCACATGACGCGATCTTGCCCGCCGTCGAGGGGTACCGTCTGTCAGGCTCAGAGCCAACCGTTTCGGAAAATTTCTGTTCTTGAATAATGAAACAATGGARCAGTTTAAATCGCTTTCATTTATTTGTGATATAGTTGKCCTATAGGGCACTGRATGTTCCTCAAAACGTCAATCTTTTTGTTTTCAGTCATAAGCGCGTAACTATCACTCTCTATTGTTTTTATTAAGATTCAAGAAGTTGTTTTTATGATTCAAAAATTTTGGTTTTTGGTGGATCGAAACCAAGAAGTAACACGGTTGTCAAGTCATTGAAGGATAATGTTGCCATGACGAAACATGAACGGCTGCAAACGTARGCTAGTACTAGATAAGGCGTATACATATTTCAAATGTCATTGGATTCTGCAAAGATGTTTACTTTTACAATATTTTCTCGAGTTTGCTCAGCTAATAAAGCAAGAATGTTTTTTGACCTTTGAACGTTCGCTTTTGGGATATACAACTTCTAGGTTTCGAAAGGATTGAAACGATGTTCACGTAACGAATGTGAAGTTTGTTATTTTTGATTCCATCAGTTTCTTTATGGGTATATTTTTATCACACTTTAAAAGTTGGATTTTATTTCATGGGTTTAGAGTGAGATTAAGAAACCCGTGAAATAGATACTACACTATTACACCAATAATATCTTTATATTTTTAGATGGACGCAATTAGCATAGCTAATCTTCCAATTAGTACGCTGTAATTACGCTGTTTTCTTGTGTGTTTGTCTGACTATCACACCGTTTAGTGGTCAAATTTTGTTTCACGGKTTTAATGACTTCGCTCTAGCCACAAAATGTCACATGTCTCTCTCGCCTTCCTCRCCGTCAATTTGGGTAAACGGAAGTAAGGGTCTCTCGCGMCAACAGTTAACGAGTTCACGATAGTAACAGCAAAAGAGACTTGAGGAAAGGAGAATCGTTCTTACATTTGAAAAAGCGGATTAAGTACAAGATTCCGACTTGGATTATATTGGAAAAGTGTTAAACCGTATATTGAATGGTGGCATATCATAAAAAAGTAACTGTAAATTCATTAACATCACAAGATATCATTTTTGTTATTATTCTGACGTAGTTGTTGTGCTRGAAAAATGACGACCATCGGTTTCGTGTGAACACAYGCAGCCGTGGGGATGAATTTCATGTCAAAGAAAKCGCCATTTCCCGTTACCATGAACACTAAACCACCGATTAGCGGCTTAAAAACATTTCCAGGATATTCCTTAAATGAGTGTTATATTACTATGGATAATGACTCACAATCATCTTCATTTACCGACATGAGGTGATAAGTTTGTTTTTTTTGGTCACCAAATGTAATCTGCATCTCGGGGAAACTTGTAAATGAAAAATTCATTKCTTTTGTAACGCCTTGTCTAGAAAGGTTTATCAAGAAATGTTTCCGTGTCGCATTCTCATGGTAATGACAGTTGACATTTATATTTGTCTTCATAGTAAAACATGCTTTTCTCCTTTTTAGTGAATTATATTTTGGTTCCGTTGTTAGAATCAATTATAGCTTCGACAATAAGGCTTCCACAATAATTAAAAACGTTTTTTTCAATCCAAAATCAGAAAGAGAACTTTGCCAAATAGACTAATTCCATTAAAAAGTATTAGTGATATTTTAGTAGAAATATTGATTTGATGAGGCGAAAAATGGTCCTGGAAGACTGACTTACTGTCATACTAGTACTGTAGTTTTTTTCATAAAACACTGATTTCCTCAGATATTATATTGGATATTTTTTAGGAAAGAACGAAAATTGGGACAAAAGAGACTGCATAACATTTATCGTGAAAATCWGTCTCAGGATTTCGATTATAAAGGACATGTTACTGAAAAGAAATGACCATATAATTCCGTTTAAAAGTTTTGTTTTGAAAGATTAATTTTTTTACAATTTTATCATCAAAGCGGAAGGTATGGTATTTTTGAAAGTATCTTGCAGACAAAAAAACACATCGAGAGAGTTCCATTGATATCGCCTTTTTTTCTTGCCCCAAAAAAAACAGCTCGAGGCCTGGTCACATCCGGAACTTCGTTCATTTAAAAATTAGAACTGGGAGGCTTTAAATATTCGTTTAGCGCATTAAAGTTAAGACCCTATTCGAAAAAAATCACACATACTTTAAAAACACTGAAATGCGAAAATACTACAAAACAAACAAACAAATTAAAACAAAAATTAAACAAAGCAAAAAAAGGCGTTTTTCAAGTCATATTGGCTCAAGTTTTTAAAATATGYTTCTCAGCACGTCCTTCTGACGTTACAAATTATCAAAATACTTTCGATATTTATGCATGTATATATAACTGGCAACAGACCTTGCTAGGAGTTCGCAGWTAGCGGAAAATTTCTCCTGCGGAATAGTGAATCTGGTTGCAATAAGAAAGTGCCATTATTTTTGCACACTTACAAAATGTGCTCCTTGACAAACGGCTACTTCAAATAGGTTGTCGTCGACGAATCATGACCGAACGTCAGGATATCTCTCATGAATGTACAAGCCATTGTTATTTCCGTTCAATGAATTCCAATTTAAAGATATATTATTTTTCCTTCAGATCTTTATACTTCATGCAAATCATCCATAAATAATCAAAAGTTCTTAAAATGCAAATTTTTAAACAGTTATTTGATGGTTCAGTCACGGTCTCTGTGAGCTCAAAAACTAGCGAAAGCATTTTATAATTTGATGAGAAGATTTCCGCAGTGGAACATGTCAATCAGCGACGCTTTTTAAGGATTTGTGTATTTTTCCCCAAGATCTATTTCATACCCTAACTGACACAAAAATATTATGCATTTAGATATTTTTCAAAATAAAATATTTTCAAAATAAATTGATAAAAACTGATTTATTGAATTTCTTTTGATATAATATTCATTAATGAATACCAAGAATGTTCCGTGCAAGAGGCTTAGCGACCTGATCTTGATTGTTTCACCTTGCCATTGTAAAATTATCGCAGTTTTTTTAACTTCAGTGATATATAGGCGCTTATATCCACGATAATTCAGACGGCAAATGCATATTGGGCTAAGCTGTTTTGATAAAATCATACGGAAAAGATCGAGAACCCGCATGAAGGTTTAATGCACGCCTTATCTCCTTGCGCTTATAAGTAAAAATAAATGAATTCCAACAAAAGATGTGTGATATATATGGAACGGATAGAACAAAGAAAAATATTGATAGAATATAATAGTTTGCACAAAAATAGACTGTAGTTTAGTTGAGAGGATACCGGCAGTCCCGGAGATAAAGAACGATATCTTTTTGAGTTTCAATGCACGGAGGAAGATCAGTAAAACGCCTGAAACTACATGACTTAAARTGGAAAGGTCAAAATTCTATTAATCATGAAATGATAATAATAATATACTAAAAAATAAATTGGAACTAATGAGATAAGGTCAAGTCAAGCGAAATAAAATTAATGAAAACGTAATAACAGGAGGTTCTGAAATGAGATGAAATGAAATATAAATGAAACGAAAATAAAGTGAAATTAAATGCGGAACAAAACAGGATGAAGAATGTAATATGAAATAAAATACTATCAAATCAAATCAATAAAATATAGTAATTACAAACGACGTACCCATAATCAAATTCACAAATACTTCCATTTTGTACGACAATCAAGTCACGTTTTACACCATAAAAGCCGTCGATTAGTTTGTTAGGCATATCTTTTGATCTTGTCCGGCATTATATTCGCTTTAATTAAGTCTCGGTTGCCATCTCACATAGGGTTCATTATTCACATTACACACAATACAATAGCTTCATCCATTAAAAGAATTAATTCAGCCAGAAGATCGAATCACGGAAGTGTAGTACAAGGCTCCATTTAAACCAAAGCAATCTGTTCCATTCCACCGGCTGCGAGTTTCTAGAGCTTTACTCAGATACAAGGATGATATTTTTAAGTGCAAGACATTGAGTCGTTCTGTGATTGGTCTAGTTTTCATCCAGCTGGCTGGCGGTGTACTTAATCATGTATTTTCTGCGTAAACTCTCTGGTAGCAGTATTGGATAATGCCTGGGTCTTGTCGCCCACATTAAGAACGTAAAATACATAATTCCAACATCGAGTCACAGTTTCAGTTTAACTTCTACAGACTGACTGCGTCCTACACTCTAAATTAACACTCCTTCTTCCAAAGTTTATATTTGTCTTCAAATTGGAAATCAGTTGGCTTATATCCATATCTCCAAGGCCACAAAAGATATCGACAAGAACCCCTGCCACGCACCAAAGTTTATTCCAACTTCTTCACGAACAAAATAGAACAAMATATAAGCAAACAGGAAATGTTTACAAACGCTCAATGAACTTGAGGAAGACTTTGAAAAGGGGAGCAAACCGGAATAACCCAAACTGGAGGAGTCATACTGGCGCGTTGTGATCGAAAGACTCATTCAAACTAACCGAAAAAGGGTTAGCATTGACCGGATAACAGGTGAGCTGTCAACCGTTAGCGAATCCGGCCAAACAAACAAACTATGAGATAACTGCGTACGTCAGTATCATAGACTTAAAACAAACATACAATATTRAAGGCCAAATAACGCAAACACGGGGTAGCAGWGAGCAAGTGTTCCAGTGATTGCAATCCATTTTCCACTTCACTTTGGAGTGACATTTACTTGATGAATGGACTTGAAAAAATGGAAAATGTATCTGTGAATAGCTCACGTGCCGAGTCATTTGAAGATGGTTTGTATGAGACATCATTGAGTCGGAGTGTTAAACTAGCTCTTTACGGTGCGATTTTCCTGACAAGTATCATTGGAAATACCYTAGTATGTTTGGTAGTTTGCCAACAACAGAGACTTCGTACTTCAACTAACTACTATATAGTTAATTTAGCCTGCGCTGACCTTGCAGTCACTCTAATCTGTATTCCTTTTGATGTTGTTGTTCAAGAGAGCAACTACACTTGGCCTTTTGGACAATTTCTGTGTAGAGTGGTGTATCCATTAATGACAATGTCTACTTTTGGTTCGGTCGGTACACTGACTGCCATTGCTCTCAATAGGCACACAGCCGTTTCCAGACCRATGCGAGTGCGTGCCAGTAAAAGAGTGGCAAAGATTGCAATCGTCGTTATATGGACCATATCATTTCTCTTTGTCCTGCCTTACATTTCAGTCTTAAACGTGAATCAGAAGTCTTTTTGCGTGGAAACGTGGTCACCTTTGTGGAGCAAAATTTATACTGTTTTCATATTTGTATTTCAGTATGTTATACCATTAACAATAATTACTATAGCTTACGTTATAATTGGTCTTTTACTGCGAAARAATCGGCTTAACTTGACGGCCGCTCATCGCCGACAAGACAAAGATGTAGCTAAAGTTGCTCGAATGATGATTATTGTTGTTATTATTTTCGCTGTTAGTATGCTTCCAAATCATATCCTTTGGCTGCATGGYGAGTTTAGCAAATCCACAACAAATACGAGCAAAATCCGGCGCTCTTTTCTTCACTGGGGAGCCATGCTTATTTACGCAAACAGTTGCACCAATCCTATTGTCTATAGCATTTGTATAGAAGAATTTCGTGTGGCCTTCAGGGCCTATATTACAAAATGTTGCAGAGTCACGGATGAAGACATTAGACCAGTAAACAGAATGTTTGAAAGGATCTCATTCAGAGGCAAGTCTTWCTCCAGTGATCGCCTTTTGGGAAGACAGATAAACAGACGAAAACCTTCGGGTAGTTTCGATGGGTCGCTGACAGCGCCTCGAAGAGGGAAGCTTTTGCGACCAAACAACAGCCAATCTACTTTGCGTGAACTTCCAGCTGCTCTGGGGGAGCTAAAGTGGCAGAGCACCACTTTAGGCAAAGCTGGGAAAAAACATGAAAAACCAAAACACTTTAGGAAACTTAGCAGCAACAATTCTCATAAGGTTACTAGAGTGTAATATCACTTCCTATAAAGTAAAAAAGAAAAACTACTTCTAAGTATTATTGCGCCGTGTGAGATCATTGCTTTTTTTATTGGAAAATAATGTGTTAAATTTGAAAATGAGCATCGACATCAATTTGGAGATGAAAGCTCACATTTAAAAACACCTCTAGCAGATGCTAAAAAACACAGGAGAGATTTTGATGTTAATTTTGTCAACATTGGTAATAACTGAGTTCATGCCGTGTTCCTAGTAATAGCAAATACCAATGAGTGACACAATAACAACACAATTTAACGTCGCCTSAAGCAAAGAAATTTTAACGTCCTTGTAATRTTCTCACAACTCACAGCAGCTTGTTATCCTGGAGATTGACAAAAACACTAAACAAGGGTCAGCATGGAAACATCTTTAATTCAAAATACGATTTRAAATGGCTTTGCAGTGTTATTTCTGTTAAAAATGAGATTTTTTTATCTGTTCAGGCATTTCATTCATAACTTATACGTGTGAGGTAAAAATCTGATGCTCGGTTTCATTGTTATATCGTTGAAGATTTTTTAATACTTCTCTYCTTTAAGTATTTTATGAATTTCTTTTTCGCGGATTTTTTTTCCAACATTTATTATTCAAGCTTTTATTATTTATGTCAGAGTTTCATTTTATTTAATTTGCGTATTAGAATTTATTATTCTGTTTCATCTTTCCACCATTTCATCCTATTTCAATGAATTTATGTATTTTATACTGTTTTATTTGATTAAATTTTTCATTTAATCGTGCAATAATTTGTTATTGACTGAAATTATTATTATTTTTTCGACAAGCTCAGTTTCAGATGTTCAGGGATTTTTTTTAGCTTTGTTCATTATGTCCTCCGTCGGTTTTTTCATCTGCATGAATATCGTGATTTAATCTTGAGTAAAAATCRATTGAGATAGGGTTTTAATTATATTTCTCTTTTAAGCCATTCTTATGTTTCCAGCATTGACAAATAAGAGAGATCAAATAACTCCTTTAGACGCTTTGCATTATAAATTCACGCCGGCCTTTGTGAAACGACTGAATCGTTCCGGAGATTCAGCGCGCGGTGAGCATGTTTTTGATGATCGACACCGCGGTTTCCTTCGCCCTCTCTCCCAAATAAACATCCGGGCAATTACAATAATTTGACATTTTCCTTTCAAAGAAAATAATTTATTTTTCATAAATGTAATCATGTTATCCAGAAAATCACATTTTAGTCGTTTAAATGAGCTCCCAGAGGATGTTTACTTGTTCATAAAACAGTAAAGACACTTGCAACGCCGCCCTTTTAAACGGTGGAACAAATTATAGCAAAGCAAAACTTGATACCCTTAAGACTAATATATATCTCTTTTGTACTATCCTCCTTGAAACGTTCTGGATAAATCGTTTAGTGCTTAGCAATACGAAGAACATGCTCTACGCCGATCCACTTGGCTTTTCGTGAAGTTATCRTGCGTTGTGTAGGAGGCCTGCCCATTGTTGTAAAGATAATTGACCAGTTCAGGAAGGCGATCTTGACGTCGCGGTAGCCGTTTCATTATTAACATCTTTGGTTTGACTAATTTTATACAAAACTGCTGCACCAAATTACTGTTGAATTAGTCAAACAAAATTTATGAAATTGAAGTGAAATCTTGAAAGGCAAAAACAGGTTATTCCTGAAAACTCTACGGCAGTCAAAAGTCTAAAGATTTGGGATTTACATGACAAAACTAAATTAAGTACAGAGTCAGACTGATAAAAATGACCAAAATTCAAAAATGAAGGCAGATAAAATAACCCAAAAACACCTGACTGAGCAAATGATCATACAATTTTAGATATAGAAAAAAGGTGCAAAAATAAATAAAAAAGAAATGAAGTAGAATAAGAAAAGAGCGGAGGAATAGACTGGAAAATAAACACTTTATTATGGACTTAAGTCGGAAATCTTTGATCCAAAAGAAAGGTTCCTGAGATTATCAGTTCTTATTGGCTCATAAATCTCCATTTTGTACAGGACAAATACTTTTTTTCCAGCGAATAAAATATCAATAACATTTCAGGAGTACAATATTTAAATATTTTTTTCCTTTTTTTCTTCGCCCCAAGATGTAAAACAAAGAAGCATGATTTGTTATTATCATTCTTTRATAGAAAAAACTGCTGGGAGATTCACGAAGATAAATGTTCTTTTCATTGCCATGGTCAAGTTATTATCGCGGGGACTGTCAAAATGTCTGTCAAATTACTATTACCATGCCAACCAAAGTAAACATTGAAATGATATTTGAGTATAAGGACTTTGATGCATTCGAAGCCTTTTTGAAACAATCTCTGTCGTCAAGGGAATGGCGGTAAAATGGTACAAAAATTAACGCTCAAAATGAGTGCGGCAAAACTTCAATGCAGTTTCGAAGCGTTYTTGCTTTGATCTTCTTCCTAGCAGTTAGAGGCCGTGACGCTCGGAACATCAATGTGTCGAATTTATTGCTTAAAGTATCTTTTCGTTTGGGTAATTATCATCTCATGTGTCAAATACTAATCCTACTTTGCTAATCCTAAAAACCTTGCTGCTGAGTCGCTTGGTGACTGCGCATCTTCTATTTGATGGTCGTAGCAAAGCCAGTAAAGGGTTTAAATGGATCAAAYRAAAAATGCACTTCGCAGTTCATRGGGGCGYGTGATTTGAGTGGTTCCAGGAGTTCCGGAATCTCCCCTTCCCTATGAGATAAAATTTTGAGCATTTATTCCACAAATCAATAGGGAAGGACATTTTCGGATGGTCCAAGAGTTTGTTGGGGGCGATCCCAAAATGTAAATAATCGTACAATTTTTCACTCGATTGTCTTCTTCACAGTCTAGTGACCACAAAACAAAGCTGAAGCCCCCTCCCCCAGCCCCTCATGACCTCATGAAACCCACGTACACTTGCTGTGACTCATCCAGATTACATTCTATAAGACTAGAATGAAAATGTTAACAATGATCAGCAGCGGATCCAGAAGGGATTCAATGGGTTCCACAGAACACCCCTCCAGCACCAAATAAAATGTCGWCAAATTTGCCTGATAAATTTGAGTTCATGTTTCTGATATCATAGCCGAGATGGGCTTCCTGTGCCTTTAAGWGCCTACAGTACATCTTATCAGCGTTCATTTTCATCACGTTCGCATAGGAAAATATGAAACCAAAATGGAAACCCTGTGTATTATTAATGTTTGTTTACGAAGGTCGTTTGAAGGATGAACAGGATCTCAGGGATGATATTATTCAAGTCAAATCGCAATTTATTTTAAAACGTCTCAGATATGGCATATCACAAGAAATATACAAGAAAAGTTTTTATGCCAAAACGTCACTTTTTTCAACATGAGATTAAGCAAAAGTGGGGGGTGGGGGAGCGGGGGTGAGAGGGGGCGTTTGTTTTTAAAATGACTTTCTGCGGGGATTTTTTTAGATTTTATGTATTATTTCGAAAACAATTTGAAGCAGGWTTTTTTATTCATTTTGCATTTATATTCACCTCTATATTTTTATATAAAGGGTGTAAGGGTTTATATAAAGGGTTTTTTATATGTTCAACTATGTGGGCACTTTACGCTTAACATTTGCAACTAATAACTACCAATGGACCGATCATTTAGTTCATAACTGTTTGCGCAAAATGCAATATATATGGCATATGAAAATACAATATGGCCAAAATCTCTTTTGGAGAAGAACGCCGATTTCTTGGAAGTGTCTTACCAACTTCACTAGATAAGGTAAGTCACGTGGCTATTTATACAGAATTAACCAATCCTGAAGAACTGTTTCCAGATTTTCAGCCACAAATTTTGATACAGCGAGGCAGCCCTCTATTTAGCGACCACCCCAATTAAGCGACCACGTATTGCTTCTCACTTCAATTCAAATCCCACATGTTAACTTTTGACCTTAATAAGGGGGTTACCTGATTTTATTCGAGGTTGATCGGTTAGCAGGARTTTACCTCTACAGCTATAAAGCAAGCATTATGTCACAAGCATAATGATATTTTTACCGCGCATGACTTTAGACTAGTGCACAGGTAAGCAATGGCTGCGTGAACTGGGACCTAGGTGATCACGTGGTAATTGATATATAAGAAGCTGCGCAAATAACAGCGTCCTACTCCTGCACTGTACACCATCGTGCGTCAAGTTGTTCTTTGAACGTCGTCGGGGAAGGCTTTCCTGAATTCTAGTATCTGCAAACGAGAGATTAAGTCTGCTCGTGTGTTATCAACACCATGATAACATGACAAGCATAGCAGGCGCGTAGCGTGGACTTTTTTGCTAGTACGCACTTGCCAGGGAACGTGACACATATTTTGGATCTAACGACCACCAAAGGCGGGAGTATTAAGGGAGTCTGGACCTCCCCCAGGAAATTTTGAAATAATAACTCTTGGAAATGCGATTTCCATCCTTTTGAGAGACATCGATGGCATATAAAAGGGATCAATTTTATGTGAATTTTTCAGTAATTTTTGCGAAAATTTTGATATTTCCTTGCCACTAGTACGCACGTATGTATATGCGTAAGGACGCTTTACGTGCCTGCATAGATACTGTGATACTCTCGGTTTCATAGTAATTTCATGTCCCTAAACTACAGAGAGACATTTGACACCTTTGCATCTTTCTTTTATTTTAACTACAAAACTGGCAGTAAACATCATTGGTTTAAGCAGGACATATATCAGTATAGGGTGCCGTTCAAATTCATCAATATCAACATTAATTACATTAAGAAAAGTGGAGATATGGCAGGATTGTTTWTATCCCAAACTTTCTACTTTTGCTATGAGTTTCTTCTGACAGTAATCATGTCATAACTGAAAACTTAAGAAATGATTTCGTTAAATCTTGATTTTCCCATAYTTCAAGCAAGTTCAAACCTTGAGATTATTTTACAGCGCCTCGCAAAATTACACAGTTGCAACAGGACAGTTGTGTTCTTGGTGATGTRYTGCATTAATCTAAACTCAGATTGAATRAAAGTCGAACAATCACAGCAATTGTATAGACGATTCGTAAAGATTTCGGCACACTACAGCAAGTTTTGTCAACCTCATTCCCAGGTCCCTTTCCCTCCACTTGCGGTCAGTTGGAGGGGATAAGGGGCCTGGGATACAAGGTTGAGTTTGTTCACGATTTGAAATCAATGTGTAATTATTATTAAGGCGCTATAAAAAAATACAGTCAAATGCTGCACTGTGCATTAAATCTTGGATTAAGAATATTATATCGCTATGTGTGAGGTATGACGTCATTGATTTGTGCGCAAATGATTGGTTTATCGGTAGACAAAACAAGTACGAGTTTTAAGGGCATTACATGAAGCAGTAAAAGTGCCAAGTGAACAACGGTGAAGGGGTAGAAGTGCAGGGATTTGATTCAAGGTCCAAGAGCCATTCAAGTTTGACCTACGTCAAAAAGCATTATGTCCGCATTGTGAATACTCACTAGTCATCATTTAACCTAACCACTCAGAAAAGGAGCAATGGAGCGTGAGATCAATAAAAATACGGAATGCAAACTACTATGACGTCACAAAACAGTCTCGTTCACGCTTCCCTGAGACGTCAATGCAAGACGAAATGTGAGTGAACGATCTCYTTCCACAGCTATAGACAATTATTCACAAGTATCTATTATTGCACACTCAACGGTTGTCTCGCTTCGATGTAAAGGCACGGCTACCTTTCAAGATGGCGCAGGGAACCGTGAAGGAGACTGTTAAGAAGAAGGTTGTGGCATTGCTTTATTTACATGATTTATCCCACAAAATCTTTGTCTACAACTGTCGCATAACCAGACTGATCATGACATAAAGCATACTTTGCAATTCAGTCTCGCGCGTGCGAAAGTTAAGACAAAAATCGTGCTGAGCAGTAATGGTACAGAATGCATGTTCATAGCGGCTATATAAACATCTACTGTGCATGTCCTTTCATGCTGTTTTGCTAAGGATATTTTCTCAAATCCTTGGTTTCTGCAAACGGAAAGCTATCGATCAAYTCTTRTGCGTCATTTGAAAGATCGCTTTAAAGAAAGCTTCATATTTTACAATTAATGACTAAAAAAGATCAAGTTAACATGATTTGTTTGCTATCCTCGTTAAATGTGTTGCATTCGTAACGAATGAATTATAATGTCTACTTGTGGGAGTGTCACGAGAAACAGCTCTATTATTGATTTTCTATACTCCGTTGTGCCGCCATATTTGGTCATATCTCTTTTGCAACTCTTGATCATTATCAACAACTGTTCACTGCAGTTACTATGGTAACACAGTATGGCGCCTACTTGGAGACATGCTTTGAACTGTTTTGGCCATCTACTAATCAAACAACAAAACAATATATCAGAACATTGGGTGGGCTTTGAGTTTATGCGTAGTATCAAAATACACAATATCACAAACAACTTAGAGTAAAAACAAATATTTTTTAACTGGCATTTTTCMCCCGTAAAATGTTGCAAATTCAGCGCTTAATTTCAAAAATTTCAAATCGTGTATGAATTAAATAGTAAGTTTTTATAAGTGCATTGGAAAAGGATATTTTAAAAGGACATATTTACATAATTACGAAAACGTCGTCCTGAGATTTAGGAATTAGGAATGCATTAAAAGACAAAAGATGACAAAATGAGGAGTGAACACTTTCTTTTGTATTGAATTAATTCCTAAATAGTAAAAGTTCTTTTTTCTTAGACAACGTTTATGTAATTAGAGTATATATTTTTTCTTACTGACATGCAAATCTTCTGTTTTGTCTCTTCATGTTTTAAATTATGTCATTATATCAAAAGAGAATATTAGTCAATTGAAAAGACAGCACTAGTTTTGGACCTTCTTTTTGTTACAGTAATATATTCCTTTCTCATTCGATAACTAATTGTTCTTTATCCTTTCCTTGAACAAAGAGAGAGATCTTTTTGATAACGTTTTTGAAAATATCCAGTGCATATGCTAATGGTTTAGCTACTGCTTATTTCACAATCCATTCTCCGTACTGGCACGTTCCAGTCACAGCTTGATGCTTTAGTTCTTGTTTCCGTTATTAAGTTTTCGTAATTTATCGCAAAATTGTTGACATAAATCATCTAGTCCTTCTGACATCATGTTTATTCATTATTTGAAGTTCAGGCTAATCCCCAAAAGGTTTCTTTGTTCGGGAAAAAGACATTACYTCGTAGCTGATAAAGTTATCTACGAATATCACGTTTTATCATGATAAAAATGTTTCTACAAAACTACAATGATATTCACTCAATACATCGCAAACATGACGCTATCATTGATATTACGGGTGAAAATACTAAAATTTTAAAATGAAAACTTCTTCTATTTTGAAATCGAGAATATGAGTATGTTTATGTTATGTTATGTTATGCTATGTTATATTATATGGTATAATATTTAGTGTATTCTTGCCATTTAAGAATTCTAAAGTGTCTGTTCTCTCATCTAAAAGCAAGATATAAAACAACGTACCATATTCATGTTTGAATCGACATTAATTCAATCCCATTTAGGCGGCTTATAGGTCACTTTGACACCCATTGGTTTTTTAGCCTTCTTGGATCCACTAGAACCACCGCCACCAGTTCCTCCGCCACCACCGCCGCTGCCACCAACAGAATTCGCTGTTCCTGTAGGCCTAACGGTTTTCTTGGGAACATCAGTGATTCTTGGAGTCGATGGATCAATAAACGAAGGAATTAACTGATCCGAGCCTGCTTCTGATTTTTGGTCATTAGGGTAGGCCTTGTCGGGGACAAACTCGCCTTTCATACGCCTGAAGAAAAAAAGAAAGCACATCATTTTTTTGTGTGTATTGAATAACGGTCTGTAGTCAACAAGAAAGCATGGTTGTCGTAAAGCTTTCAACGTCATCAATTGTTATGTCGTCATTAATGACGTCAAGGGAAAACGATGATGTCCTCGTGTGCATTTAAATTCATGCATGCTTTGATAAGAATTTGAAAAGGACACCTCTTACAGGTGTCTATAATCTAATGGAAATCAGACGTTGATGAAAAACACAAGCAATATCAAATAATGGAGTATTTTCACTATGTAGAAACCCCATGTCTTTTACGACTCTAATAAACAAACMTTAGGGTGATATTGTGAGCAGATGGCAGTATTGAGTGTCGGCGTGACTCACTAGACTAAATCGACATGAAATATATACCTAATACCCTAMAAACACTTAAAGTCTGCAAGTATAGCGACATGATTTTYGAAAAAATTCCGTGCACTGACTTGRAATCGAGCTACCAAATAAGGGGTAGTAACTAAGTATATGAATTAGGGCATTAGCGTTATATTTGGGGCCTCAGGGAACACATTTTCGCCAATTTTTCGGATCAGGGAACCCGCAGAGTTTTAAATAATTGAATCATTTAACTCCAAATTGTGGAGAGTACACAAGTCTAGACATGAACTTTCTTCTTTGATATGAAATTAATACTTCAAAATAATAAGCATAAAATAGACGACAATCATTGGATCACTTTCCGTCGCGGTAACCACGACAAAAGTCCACAGCAGGAGGTCTCTATAGGAATCCATTATCTAACTGTAAGCATTTTTTCTTTTCGACGGATACGTTGTATAATATATCTATACATGAATATTTAAAGAGCAAAAAGCAGGGGGTGGGGGCTAAAAAACTGCCTCCATTTTGAGAACCGAGAACTTGTGGATCGATTCTACTTTCAAAATTCYATTTTTTTAACATCTATTCAAATATGATACAATGTGAGTTTCCTTTCCGGTTTTGAGAGTGTGCGCTAAACTTGTGCATTAAAATGCGGCGTTGTCGCGAGGAAGTCGATTAATCTTCTGTGAAAAATTGGTTCCATTTTGTTTAGCCATTCCGTTGCGAACAACACGCAAGACGGATCCAGGAAGTCTTCTTTTCCAAGGAAAGGTTGTTGAAGTCTTGAAATGAAATCATGTAATCAAGATTGCGAGACTGGTAGGACCTTGGGTTATATTCAGTTTAGATTTAAAGCCAGTGATTATTACGTTTATTAGTGATTGAGTAGATATCTATATAACAAATWCGTCTGAAAATGACCGAAATTGGGTGATTCTTTTACCGACAGTCGACATAATCAATATTCAATTTGTTTGTGGATTCTCTCTTCGACAATTTCAACTTGCAATGGTGTCCGACAACCCTTGAAACAGCTGTATAAAACAATATAATGCACCTACTGAGACAAAATCGCTTTTCCCCTTAAATTATTGCGATTAATTAACACACATCTACTCGGTTTTATCACACACTAATCTCTTTCTAATAAAAATGTCAAATTACGACTCACCTTAAAAACTTGACCAGCATATAAATAATGATTATCGCAAGTACAACAAAACCGCCGATCCCTAAAACGAGTACAATTATGAACGTACTCTTGGACATATTGGCAGTTGAATTACGCCCCTCTTGTCCCTCAATACTGGGAGTTCCACCACCTGGCAAGAAAAATACACAATATCAAATCAACGATCAAAGACAACATGGAATCATTAAGACGTTATAACGTCGCTATCTTAGAGTGTCCAATGCCCTCTAGGGAATGCGTAATGGCACGTTATACTTTCGTGAAAGCCCTTGAGGCGATGACGTCACGTGCCATCAGGCATTGCGGCCCGACTAGTCTAGCCGAGTTAGTATTCACTGTATTCGACAGATGCAGCTTTCTATTTCTTTCGGACGTTTTGAAAGTTATAKTACAAAAGATATTCTATAATGCCAATTAAACGCGTGTAAATCCGCGTGAATAATTGTCGTAAACCATCCAAGAAAATGTAATGGAGTTCACTAAATTTCCAATGCAACTCCAACAAAATATAAATACTTTTTGGATAATTCAAAGCCTTCAGCCGCCAAACAACTCACRATCAAATTCCTAATCGAATTTATGATTCAGTCGTAATTCTCAATTTGCTGTCGGAATTTAAATTTATACAGATCTAAAAGAAGCGAACTTGATCAGCATATAGTCTTTGATAACTATATTTAACAATAAGGCAATAACGTTGTAGGATAAGCGATAATATGGGCATGCCTGGTGCGTAATTCATAACAAGCCTTCATCGATGTGTGGTACGCCAAAAATAATCCAAATTCTTAAAACTTCATTCTTATAATATTATGTCGTTTAACTTTAAAACCTACACATTTTAACCGAATTCAATCCAATTAGAGCCTCAGAGAATTSATTATTAAGTTTTGGTGTAAAACTGAAACAGGCTGCCGCCATCTTGAATCATCACAAACCAAAATGGCGGCAGATAGTGACTATAACGTCTTACAACAAACGTTTTGACTACTTTTTTGCTATATTACAGTAAGAGTAGAACGAAGTGGCATTTCTAAGTKGATATGATAATACAAGGATTGAGTTCACAGTTTTACAGGATATGCTTATTGCGTTTGTTTACGAAACAAAGTTTACATGAGGAGAAGTTCTTTCCTTCCTTTCTTCAGATTATATCATAATTAACACAAATAAACTATTTATCTAAGTCCTATGTCATTCAAATTTTTTATATTTTTTTTATACCGTTACGTGAAAAACAAGTTAATCGASAGTCACATGGATTTCCTGTGGAATATAGGAATGATGACTACAACGTTCCGGTTGAAACTTTCCCGCTACGACTGCAAATGATTTTTGTTTTAAAAGGTTTTCAATTTCCTTAGAATGCATGCTTTAATATCCTACATTTAACGCTGCTAACTAACGTAAACGCCGTCAAACCAGGCTGTAGCTGTGAGTACTTAATAATATATATTCTTTCTGTCTTGGAAAACGTCTATTCATTTGGCACTTGTCCAACTGAGTGTACATAAAAATGTCAGTTTTAACAATAATATTCAACATGCTGTTCAAATATTTATCATATACTATTAGTACTAGCACCAAGCCTCAAGCATGCTAAGCTTAAACCGCTATGGCCCTAAATCACTTAAAACCTGTCGAAGGCTACTCTTGATGTTTATTAATACAGAGGCATATTGAATTTTYATTTTCACTTGAAATGTTATCAAAGTTTATAKTGAAAAAGTCGCTCATGCATGTGGAATTACAAGTAAGAGTGGTTTCCGTATGAGTGGAGAGCCGTACGGTGATTGTAATGAAGCTGTTACGGTAGTTATACGGTTACGCTAAAGTACGTTAGGCCTCGTTAGGCCTCGTTACGTATCTCATACGAAAAACGCTCATACAATTAAACTGCTGTAACAAAATASCACGGAAATTTCATCTTCAATAACTTTAAGAAATATTATTCTGAAGAACTGCTGTATTTCGTATCCTTTTTATAATTCATAACGCTGCGGCTCTTCGCTAAAGACTGACCAGATGTGTTACTTTTAATAAAAGGCTTGTTTCGCAATAAGAGCGACATGCATTGCTAAGAATTCACGTTTTTAGACACATTCACACAGTACATGATATTAAGACACTACCAATGCAAGGATTACGTTGTATTTTGTAAACATTCAATTTTCATTTGATTATTTCTTTTTTGAAGGAAGCCAAATGAATTTTGTATTGTCTTTCTGTCGATAATCGTTTGTTATTCTCATTTCAGTTCTAGAAAAATCCGAGTCAGATTCGTGGGTAGTGAATAGATTTCAGAGAAACCAAATTGAACAACAATTAGTTCAGTTTTCAAAATCTTTTCAATACCATAAACTAAAAAAAAATAAGTTCATTACTAGGAATAATATTCAAGTTTTCAAAACGTATTCGCTCACTTTTTTCCCTAATTTTTCAGCAGCGAACAAACAAGTCAACCACAAAACTTTAAAACAATCCAAAGTGAATTCTTCTTCATTATAAAATTCYATGTTTTCATTATGTATTTTGTAGTAACTGGCTGTAATAATAAATCAATCAATTCACAGACGATGTGCAGGGCAAGACAAACGAAAGGCGTACTTTGTCAATTTGTGCGGTCATGATTACAATCTTGACGAAAAACTGACTGACTAAGACGTACAGTACTAATTTGYGCCAGTACAAATTTAACAAAAGTAAAATTACTATTTCTCATCCTAAAAACGACACCGGAAATCAATKTGTTACAAAAACAAAAAGCATGGAATCGAATATCAATTTTGTTAAAAGCACCGATCATGTCATACCATAAACCAAGAAACGGTGAAACGGAACTCAACTGTCCAAGAATAATGCGACTTTAAGGAAAGAAAGTAGTAAAGGAGTATTAACATACGCTATATTCTGTGTTGAATAAATTCACCTACTGCGGATTCCAGCCTCTTAGCTACAATCAATTATTGAAGACACCACAACGTCAAGTGCCATCTTAAAAAGTTTTAATTGAAAAAAGGACGATAGATGCCTAATTAATTTGTTTATTTGGAATCCGCTTTTAGTTCTAGGAAGATAGTGTTTATTTTATCTAAATGTATACAGAAACGAGATACTTATGAGTTCTATAAATGCGACAAAATTCTAAAATTGTGTCCCGAAATTGCTCCATGTGATGTAGAATCGAAACATTTGATTTCTAGTAACGTGAAGAAAGCTAAGAAATGCATAAACTTTTTCACTAGTTCCTTTTACGATCTAAAAACCATGTAAACAATATCTGATTCTGGATTGATAAACACAGCCAAGCTAAATATATGTCATTGAAAGACATCATAAGCGGTCGTAATATAACTAATGAAGAAACCCGTAATAAAGCATTTTAAGTAATCGTCGTAAAGAACTATCAAACACCTAAGACGGTGGGTACAGCTTACTGGACAGCAGTTGAACACCTCAAGTGCAAGCCCACCATTGACTCTTCCTTCACATAAGCATTCAGTGCCGAATCCAAAATCACGTCGCGGAATCGCTGCCGAACTAGTGGGTTTAAGGGGGCTCACACAGGGCGCTCAACTGTTGTCATAGAGACAACAAGGGCCGTGAGGAACTTGAAGCCGTTGAGTGAGCTGTACTGACCGGGCCACACCCTGTGTGTGCCCCGGCCCACCGGGTGCACTGAATTCGGCCTACCTGGTAAGATGATAGAGGAACTTGGGAAGGCGGCTGTTGATGACACAGTTCTGCGTCCAATGGAAAATTTTCTGCTGAAAGTGTGCCACGGTGCCACCCGATTTATAGATATATTCAGTCCCCGCTCTAAACGACCCTTTTTAGAGCGAATGATTTTCTCTAAAACATCAGCTTTTAAAATCTGAGTCTCATTCGTTCCATCCACGGATACATAAAACGCCGTGTATAGGTTGCGCTGTTCCGAGGGATGCCGGGCAATTTTAAACATCACCACATTAACATTAATAGGTTTTTGAATACGCGGAGCCGTAGAAGCTGCGTTCCGCTTTGAATTTGGTTTCAAAGTGTTAGTAGGTGTAATAGGTGACCCATCCCAGCTCTTTATCGGCGTTCCATAATTCCCGTCACTTGCTGATCGCTTTTTCCTAACCACACTATCTTGAAAGCATGGAGTCTTTGAACACTCTTCATTAATTATTTCTCCCGCAAGTTTCCGTAAAGATGCAATCTTRGGGAGAAAATTCATCATAGAAAGAGAGTCGATCACGAGTGTGATTCCTTGATCCATGTCATTAGGATAAAGTTGATCGATACAACACATTAATCCAGGGCCAGTGTTGCCCTCGCAGTTCATACAAATGCATTCCTGTTTGCTGCCCTTTCCTAATGGGCATCTATGCGGTTGTGCAACAGTAGGATAAGGTGTAGGCGTGGGAGATAAAGTCTGTATTCTGTAAGTTGGAGTTCTTGGTCCTTTAGGATGTTGTGTTGTGGGAGMAGTACCTGAGGTGGAAAGGACATGAGGATCAATATAAGATGGGCTTGCTGTCTCCCTCGCCATGTCAACTGAACCTGTGAAAGGAGATGAAATGGACGGTTTATTGCCGTCGTTTTTTGAGCCTATGCCTATGTTAGGAGTGGGAGAAAGAGCCATGGTCTTAACGCTTTGACTGGGTTCTGGTGAGGGCAATACTTCCGGCGCTGAAGTAACAGGCTTGCTGATAGTTCTTTCGTTGTGCCAAGGGGTTTTTTCGTTTTTCGAATACAACAACGACATACGCATCGATTCCGAAGGCTTTGTGCTAGTAGTTCCAATGCTAGAATGTAGCACTGTTTTGATTGGAATTTGACCACTTTGTGTATTTTCAGGATCAATTTGGCCGGTATTGGAGAATTTTCCCACTCGATTTGTATCCATTGTCCACGATTCTGTTCCCAAAATATTTATAATCCCCTTGGAACGTTTCCTTGTGGAAGAAGAGCTGTCAGTAAGTCCGTTAGTTTTCTTGGTAGGTGATAAATGTGAGGAAGTGGCGTCGCTTAATCGTGGAGTTGATATTGGTTTGCTTGTTGGCGTCTTTGGACGAGGACTGACTGCTGTAGGTGTTTGTAAAGCCGTCATTATAGTTGGTAAAGTCTCTCTGTTCTCATCCCCTGAAGGTTCACAAATGTCAACACAAAAAAATATCAGGACGACAAGCCCAAGCGCTATTTGCTGCAAGCGATTCCCTTGGAAGGGAAAAGCAGGCTTGTGCATGTTGAACGAGTATGCCAGAGTCATGCGTGAATGTGGATGTAGCTGAGGAATGGTGACCTATTATCGTACAGCTCCATAAAGATAGAAAAATGACCTTTCAAGCACCGCGAATGAAAACAAACGTCTTTGTCTGTGGAAGTCCCGTAATTTACTCTTACTAAAACCAAAACATGAATTCACTAAAGCCGGGAAATGACAGTGCGACAGAAACAGGTGGTCATCTACCGAATTAGCCAATCAGATCGGAAGAAAACTAGGTCAATCCTTCACATGCGTTTTAATTAAATTTAAAATTCTCACTTTCAAATAGCAGTCTTCCTTAAGGTATTAAAAGACATCATTTGGCGATCACTAGAAAGGGAGTTTGTATAGCCAATCATTTCATAGTATTGTCGATTACTGAAATGATAATTAAAATTCATTATGCACCCAAACCACTGAGTAGCGAGAGTATTTCGATAAGGTAAGATTGCTAATCCTTTCTCAACTTTTTTGCGATTTATTCCTTCTTTTGAAAGCCATCCAGACGAACCAATATGAGCGTCTTATGACTAGCTCTCTCATTTCCATTGATCAAACACRAGCCTGTCAAAACACTAAACTCGTAAAGCAAGAAATGATGAATAGAAATTCGCTGTATGATTATTTTCGTGTTTACGTTTCATTAACCTACAAACCAATTGRAAACCTTGTGGTCTTCTGGTRCTCCAAAGGCTTCTCTCCCACAATAGATGAAGCCCACTAGGGCCGAATACTAGAAATAATTCCTGAATTAACTTATTCCAATATAAAAGACGCTTATTTGTAGCACCTCAAATTGCCAGTAATTATAACGATGGGGGAGAAAATGAAACTATGAATAATGTCACGAAATAAACGCCACGAGACGGGTATATTTTTGTGTGTTTTTGGTTGATCTATGCAAGRTCGATAAAATATCCTCATTAAAACACAAGTCGCGCTCAACTGTTGACATTAACGTGTTGACAAATGTAAACACTCGTAGGWCGTGAGAGCTAAAATGAATAATATGAATGATCCGTGTTGGAATAACATGAAATTATAATTTTCAACTGGAAACAATTGGATACCCGCTGGCTGATCGAGATCACTTTAAGAGTCAAAGATAAAATGTCCACATAACAAAGTAAACAACAAATAATAAATGAAATTAATTAAACATTGCAAAAATACAAAAACCCGAATCGAATTAAAATTCAATGGATGTGAAAATATGGTGTAAAACGTAAAGAATTTGGCAAATGGTTTTGGTAAATGATTTAAAAAAGGMAAGRACRAAAGAGATCTTAGRCGAACAAATGAATGAATTGGATAGATGGATGGATGGGAGAGTGAATGAAWGAAAACAAGCGTGAATAAGCGAATGGTTGAATGACAGAAAGGAAAGAATGAACGAACAAAAAGATAAAATGAATGACAGTCCAAGCACTGATAGGCTGTTTATATCTATAGATCTCGACATACTTAAGGCAATAGAGGAGTAATTAAACCCCGTTAATGGCTCATAACCCTCTGTTTCTCACGCACTATTTAATTCCCAACGCAAAATCCTGYCATTTCATCCTCTTCTTCCAGATATCTAAGTTCTAAGCAGTCTATGTTTGAGTTATAGGCCATTATATACGAAACAATACACCAAGATAATAACCCCGAACTTTCTAGAATCCCTAGAATATAAAAAGCCCTTAAGCCATAGTTCTTATATAGCCATAAGCTGATAATAACAATGCAAAAGATCTGGTATTAGCACAGATGTGTGAGACAAGAATCCTGGTGCTTCTTTTCATTATGGCTAACATACCAGAGTGCTTTTTTAAGTTCAAGGATTAGAGTTAGAAACAGTAAAATGCCCAATCAACATTAATAATATATGAGGTGAAACAGCCAACTGATTTTAAATGAGTTTGGTTGAATGTATTTTTTTTATCTGCTTCGAGGTTTAAATTCGTCAGGACCTTTGGATTTTAACACAATCGCTTTTCAAAGGAAAGTGTACTGCATTCTTTCGAGTCTTTTCCATAGAAGTTTCATTGAAAAAATGAAATGTAAAAATGAATAAATAAATGAAAATTAAAACGACAAAAATCAGATAAAACCGATAGAGACCTGAAACTAGAATGACAAAGCTATTTTTATACTGYCCTTGAAACAGATTGATGCTCATAACTTGGATTGGGGTAAGAACTACTTTTTTAACCATACGAGGGCATTGTCAGTTGAACTAATGACATACTCTAAAGCCCATTTAATRCAGGAAGTTACGAAAACACTAAAGATGAAATTTAAATCACAAAACTGCTGAACTCTATGGAACAATCTAACCATAGCATATACAAATATATCAAAATTTCCCGATACAACTCGCTAAAATCTGTTATATATAAACAATTATCCGTATTCAAGTCTAAATCAATGATTAAGTAAGGAATCTGCAAATCAACAATCACTTAATTGAAAGAATGAATTGGTCGAGAAGACACTATCACGAAACAGCTACTCTTGACTTTCTCATCTGATTAATAAAAAATAACTTAAACACGAAAAGAAATGAATTATTGATAGGATAAAGATAAATATAATTAGTAGAAAACAAGCAAAAATTTAAAGTTTATCTTTTTATGGAGCAAAATAATCAAAAATGACTCGTGGTGAAATGATGTCATGGCCACATGCATGTACCTACAGACCACAATGTGACAATAATCATGTGCACGTGATCCGCCCTCGGTTGTGATTGGTCCATTGATCTTGGGCAGTGATTGGCTGGCTTGAAGTGTTGGTAATATGACGGAGTGTTGACGACGCGAGTTGGTGAATGAATGGTACTTCTCCATATTTGGTGGTGATGGTTGCCATATCAACGTGTAAAAGAACGTTCTTGTTGGCATGCAACAACAAGTCAATGAAGTGAAATGCAAAGTAACAAATGACATGCAGAATCATGAGCAAGAAAACGCTCTAACAGAACCATAAACAACATGAAAAATCACATCAACATCCATCAATAATGGTCAATGAGACGGCGAAATGACATTCTGAGGAGCGTTTTAAAGTTAAATTAAGATCAGTGAAATGTTACACGGTTATCTGTACTTGCCATGGTTGCCTACTACAGCAATCCATAAAGGCAAAACAATTAATTTTCAGTTATCTTGAGTAAAAGAAGACTGCATGAGAAATGAAGCATGGTTAAGTACAAGTGTTATGGTGTTAATGAGTGATAACGCCATGGATTGAGGATTTCATTATCCAATAGAAAGACAAGCCATTGAGGAGCAACAAGCCCCAARTGTCCCATGATGCAATAGTTTAAGGGTTAAGTGAGGTCATACGCCAGTGTCACCCAGTTAAACGTGCTATGCATGCAATGCCAACATGCAAGTGCAGTAGCAATAGTATCAAAGCCGGCAATACAGGTTTTAGAAGACGTTAATCACAGTTATGTTACTGGTGAGTTATGCAAAACTATTTGGTTTTGAYAGACCAAAACACTAGTTACAATTTGCTCTTGCATAATTGATGCAGCCTGTCCTTGGACGACGCATGCGTACTGACATTCTCTATATGCTTCGTAAAGATGAAGAAAGTATGTGTTTTTTTGCTTGAAAATGAGGAGTCAACAAAATGTCCAAAAAGCTGYCCACTGATACATAGTAAGGATACCTTAAAAATACCAAAAGACCAAAAAATAGACTTTGACACAAAACCTTTAGAAAACAGAGCTCTTGTCGTTGATGTAATAATATGATCCGAAAATAGTCTTTTTCAAAATAAACAGCCTAATAAACTCCATATTGGTGCCTCATAAAACTATAGAAAAGTTTAATGATGCCGACTCAAGATGCTAGATAGACCGACTTGACTTTYTCTAGAAATAYCRACGAAATCACAGACMCCAAATACTTTTGTCGWTGKAATGGCATGCGCTATTTACCATATCACCTATCTTACAAGTTAGGCTATTAGCTTTAGTCTCATGCACCGTACAAATCAACAKTTTGATCAGTGCTTGTCTAGAATTATCAGTGTATTATAAAATAGATTATGATTTATCTATAGAATATCTAGAGTGCACTGACTGATCACGAGTTAGGTATTTACTTATCTATTGATTAGCAAGGTGAGAACTCCTCAGAACAACTACACCCTGTCCCTCCCTCCCTTGGAAGCATTTTYCGCGTATAACAAACCAAGCCGTACCGAAAAGATCAATTTGATCCGTATTCCTCTTAGGAGCCTTTGTACTCGTACAAAACATTGCCTATTAACGGGGTATATGCTGTATTGACACTTTTTATTGGAGGATAAAGTTGCACTTACCGCAGAATTTACAGGTTTTGGCACACATTGAACTCATGAACTTCTTGTGGGTTTGACAATAGTTTTCCTGGCTTGCATACATGGCGCAATCATCCGACCGATCCATGCATTTGGTGGATGGTTTCTCTGTACATAACAATAACAAGCCGATGACAATGGCAGTGACAACGACAAATGTGGAAGAAATAGCGATGGGTATCACAATGGTAAGAGAAGATTTCGTAAGAATGTGTGACAAAAACTACGACAGTTTCGTCCCTTGACGTATTTTAGCCTTTTCTCGATTGAATGTTTGCAAGGGCGGATCCAGGCGGATCCAGGGGGGCAAGGAGGAGGAGGGGAGAGGGGCGGCTTTAGGCCCACCTTCTCCTCTGAGCAGAAAAACTTAAATGTTTTCAATTTTGATTTTAATGTTGTTAATGGTGAAGCTCATTTGGCCCCACTCCCCCTCTTCTCCCCTTCCCCTAAAATTTTAGCTGGATCCRCTCTTGTTTTGCAAAAATACCGGGCTTGATTCCGTTACTGGGCCGTGTGTTGTWGGTGCCACCATTCATACGAAATTTGCTCAAAGTCAGTGAATAATCACAACAGAATGGCAAAACAAAACCATGCAATGACATTATGACAACAGCGATGGCCTATACAACGGCAATGCCCATAACAATTATATTGCCGGGCGATGCCAGTCACATAATTGACAATGATGATGACAATGACACAATGCTGATCACTATGGTAAAAGCAGTGGTGATGCAAAAATTCAACAGAAATGACAACAAAACTTAGAATTTTATAGTGAAAATCRAAAAGCTGTGACAGGGAAGAAATATTTCAGGAATATGCATTYGGGATCTGACTTAAACGACATAAGAAGAATTGAAATGCACCTAGATGACGCTTTATCTCGTTCATGATTGGCCATTACAGGGGCGGATCCAGGATTTYCCTCAGGGAGGGGTGCGGGCCTCTTAGAAGGGGGTGCAACCCACAAAAATTATTACCATAAAGATACAAAATATCAGTGGAAAGTACTGAAGGATACAGATCACAGGAGGGGGATCGCACCCCCTGCACCCACCAGCTGGATCCGCCCTTGCATTAAACATTTTCAAAATATTTCTGAGTAGTCACAGCTTTGAGATTCGCACTGTTATATAAATTCTATAACTGCCATTGCTTTTTGTTATTGTTTCTCTAGGATCGGAAGYCAAACCACGTATCCGATGAATATAACATATGATTAGGTCAATTCAAACAATTACTTTGAGTACGGCATTCCCTTCGGCTAATCCCTTAAACATTCAATCCATCACAAAAATGAAGAAAATTGTCAAACCTCKAATTCATTTGTGTTCGGAAAGAGTGTTTGGACCGAACTACATTATTCTAACATCTTCTTCATATGGTCAGTGGTATATATCAGTTAATGTCACGCTTTCCCCCGCGTTACTAGCAATATTACTAGCTGTCACAACTGTAGTTAGTAGCAGTATTAGTAGAGCATACAATAGCATTAGCAGATTAAGGATTAGCTCCATAAAAGCAGCTGAAAAAACAGCTATGGTAGTATTAGCGATCACACCAGCAGCAGCAAAAGCATTATCACTATTAATTATTCCTCGGCAACCCGCCTTTAAACCCACACCTAAGGCTTTTATGTTAAGGAATTAGTTCATTTTCTAAAACACGATTTACAATTTCACTGTGAAAGAACTTACCATTATCGCAAGGTCCTTGGCTGATGTCTGGGCAAATGCATTCAAATTTCTCGTCAACAGACCGACATGAAGCMCCATTATAGCAAGGGTTGACAAGGCAAGGATCAGCTGATGAAGCAAAGAAATACAATATAAACTAGTTTTGATACTAGGTATGAATCCACCTATGGAATTACTTTCAGAYCATGCATTTGCAGAATTGTGACAACTTAAAATTGGYTCGAAGGTAGTTGGACGATCTGAAGTGAAAAATGAAGGGAACGGAAGAAAMAAGAAAGGGGTGAAATGAAGAAAAGCAGATGGGAATGTAGGAAAGAAGGGGAGCGAAATGGAAGAACGAAGATAGGAAACTTAAGAAGGGAGGCTAGAAGAGAAGTAAAGTAAGTAGAAAAGGAGGGAGGGAGGGAAGCAGGGAAGGCGGGAGAGTAATGAGWTACAAAAGGAGGACGTCAGCAATAACGAAAGCCTCATTTTGTTATGGTAACCAGTTTGCTGAATGACTAATCTACCACTGGGCCATCAGCTCATACGCACAACCCCTACAATGATTGTTTTAGMATACACTCCTTACAGCTAGTTTTYCAAAAGGAAAGAGGAGAGATAGGCAGTTAAGAATGGAGATGGAGAAGAAAGTTGAGAAAAAAGGTGGCAAGAAAAGTCAAGAAGGGATGAAGGAAGGGAGAGTAAGATGGTTCGAAATAAAAAGACAGTGAGAGAGAAGGGGTGTACAAATTTACAGCCATATACATCACACACCTTTCTTGAAATGACAGCATATCAATGACTTGGTAGTCTTAGCCAATACAGTAAGAAAAGCTACTTCTACTTCATATGCAGATAACTCATACGGCCAKACCACTAAATGTCCAATATCGAACTTGCCGTAATAATGCATTTTGGTTAAACTATTGGGTCGTCCTATAACAATGGTTTGGTATTGAAGTGGTCTATARTTAACACTTTSTGGTTTATTATTTTTGGCTAAAAGCTTTCCATTCTTGTAAACTTTGAGWCCATGGTCGACATGCCAAGTAAAYGCGAATTGAAACCAAGCTTTCGGTAAGAAATCCAGGCTGATCTTCCAGTCTTGTGTTTGTGTTGAAAGGTTAAGGACGAAACGTTTGGACTTTTGTCGGTCAGCGGTGCTTGCACTGGGACTTGCGCTTGCGCAGTTAGAACAAATGAAACGGAAGCCCGGACCTTCATCAGCGTCTGTGTAACGACCTCCTGATAATATGAACTCGCCTGAAAGAGAAAAACGATAGTGAATGGCGAGTGCATGAGTTTTAATCAAGTATAAGGAATCTGTACCGGACCAAACAGCGAAATGCTCCATCATATTTCTTAATATAAACGTTAAGCATATAAACTCAAACAAAAGGCAAACATTACTGTGCTTTCCAGGTGTTGCGGCAACGGAATTAAAGAAAGTGAAAACCATACAATAGTGTGATTTGACAAAACCATGAACTTTTTTAAATAAATTTTAATACTCCGCTAGTTCATTAATGATGACATTATTGCATTAATGCAAACAGATATGAGAAATACTTCACGGGTTAATTACCTGCATGGTATTTGATCCAAAAAGCCACAGTTAGCCCTCGACTACAGAAGGTAGGATCATTGATACACTTGCTCCGAATACCATTGATAAAGACATAGTCATCGATACCGTCGAGTGATACCACGGACCCCAACTGTTCAGCCCTGGTTGTTTTAACACCATTGTACGTCACTGCTTTACCCTTTCCTCGAAGGTCAGACAGGATTTTCTTCGTGGAAGTGCCATTGAACGGCCAGTAATGCGCTGCATTTGGGTACCGTGAACCTTGAAGAAKRCAGGATACAGTTAATTATAAATATTTAGTCGCTAGACCATTTTACTCTTGCGTCAGCCATTTTGAAATATCAATTTCTAAAGACTGAAGAAAACTTACAGAATATCTGAAAAACTTATATCATGGGTTTATGAATTTAGATTTTATTTTATTATTTTGAAACATACAATCTTTATTTTGGGATTACATATCTTCCTTTACGTTTGATAGGATGAAATTCACTCAAGATATGTGCTTCCTGCTGAATACGAAGGAAACTCATTTGTTGACATTGTCTGCAGCGTAATCTGTTAATCGTCCGCTTAAATAACTAAGTTTTTCGAGTTTTCGGTAAAGAACCGAAACGACACATTAAACAATTGTATTTTTTTTAAAAGACACTCAAAAACGGCTTTTGGGGAAAAGTGGAAAAAGTGCAGACAACGTCATTTCCCATCATGCTTTGTACCAGAAATGGCGTCGATGCACAATTCCTCTATAGAAAAAAATTCACAAAATTAAAAGGTTTCAAAATGGCAGCGCTTTGGTAAAATGATCTATATATGATATGATATGTGTGTTGAGCCCTCGTTAATATGAGGTTAGGTTAAAAATATTATTAATTATTATRATGAGTTCAGTATGAGATTTATAATGCGATTATGTTGTCATATTCATGGCATTATCAGTGTTGACCAGTGTCCGTTCAATTATTTTAATCAGTTTAAGGTTTATGTAAATTACCTGTACCAGCAGCCTATTTAATTGTACTTGTAAAAAAGAACATGATTAATATTACGATAATATCAACCAATATTATTATTAATGTCGTTGTTGTTCCTGTTGTTGTTGTTAATATTGTTGTTGCTATTGTTGTTGTTGCTGGTGGCGGTGTGGTGTCAGTATCACCGAATAAATGTAAGGTAACAAAGGAATTATATCATTTCGCTACCACACAGCGACATGTTCTCCCACGTTGCACTCGATGTGCTCAGTTGGAAACAGAACTAAGAATGTTACAAAGCCACGCCCGACCACACTTGCACAGTTTCATAGCAATGGTCGGTGAAATAGGGGACCAGAATGTTTTTGTTCATTTTGCAAACCATATCGGTTTGCTTTAAACTCTTTCATTTAMAGAACCAGATATTAATTATCATGTTTCTGTTACGTTCTGATTGTAAAACTACCCACATTACTGATTATGTTACGGTTACGTTACTATTACGTTATACAATCTACAGCTCTATTATTGATCTTTGACAATAGTATCGTTGCAAAAATCAAGGAAGAATTTCCCCTTAGCTTTGTTGCTTTTCCTCTTTTAACTTGATTTTACTTGAAACGTCTATGCTTCATCAAATGCATTATTGATCAGTTTGAGAATGTGAATTATTAATATCCCAGAGCAAAATACGATTGGAAATTTTCACGATCAGGCTTTAAAGCTCTTTGTTTGACGCAGAATTCCAGCAATATAGCAACTGGTTTTCTAGTCTCCTGTATTCACCATGTATGAAATCTTGCTTTTGTTATGAAAACAAARTACGAATATAAATAAAAACATGGCGAAAAAATAATTAGAGCAGAGTTTTAATAAAACGTCTATAATATAACTTAAGTGAGCCGGTTTATTAAGATRAATTCTAAGGTCTTTTTTATATTTGAGTTACCAATCTGAGAATTCAAAAAAATCTATGTACCCTTCCAGCACACACWGTTTTATCAAGACAGGAAATGGTGTGGAATCATGGTGTTGATATTTTGCTCTATCTGACTCTGAATCTCAGCTAAAATTGTACTTTAATATTTCATTCAAAACACGGCTTCTTTAAAAGTAGGCTACGTTTGAAAGTCTTTTCAGTAGAGATATACATGTCCCCCAAACAAGGACGATCTTTGGTTTCTAATGTCTGGGTATAAAAAATCTTAATCGSCAAAAAACTAACAGTCCCACGCACTCCACGCACTAAAGCAAACATTTTGTTAGCTTGCAAAAACMCTAGATTAGGAGTGGTTGTTCATGACACTATTCTCTTGCTACTGAAGCAAGTCGACCAGGTTTTTACTCACCGTGCTCTTTTTCAACTTCCTCTGGCCAGCGTGCGCCAGTRATGTTTGACGCATTTAAGCCGGGTAGACAACTATCTTGGCAGTCCGCCGTATCGTAATTCGTAGCGTTCAATTCAAGGAGTAGCATGAGCAGAAATCCCGCCAAAATAAAAATATACATGCAGTTCATGACTAGCAGCGTTCATAGCAAGCTTTGACTTGCACGGTGCCGAGTTGTTATAAAATTATTTYTGAGTATCCCACTGTGGTGAGTTCAAATCACAGTATATTTGAAATCAACAGACTCCATTGCGGCCAAAACGACCTCCTGGAGGATGTGAACACGATTTGGGATAATACGCCGTAATCTCTTTTGATCTGAATACAAGCGTTATCTCAAGATGACTCAGGACGTTATGTCTACATTGGTAGTTCGTTAGCTGGGTTTTAAGCAGAAATATAACCCGCTAATTGCCGGAATAAAACATCTTGCGTGAGKATACTTATGAATACTTTAGCTTATAAATGCTGATAATTGAGTGGTAAGGAAGGGGGTTAATTAAATTCGGTTATATTTTTCTGTGAGTAATTACAAAATCCCATTGGAGTCCTATTCATTTGTAACAAGAACAGCACTCATTTGGCCAGGCTTTATTGGATTCGTATGAAGTCTACAGTTAGCGATATTAACTGGTAACCTGTTGTTTGCCTTCCTTGTTTTCCAGACTTTATGGTGTTTTATATAATATAAGAAGCTTGTTAGAACATTAACACTACAAAACCAACACAAATAAGCAATTATAAATAAGAGTCCTCGAGGTGAAGTTCTGTCAACGTGAATACAAGTTAAGGTAACGGATTAGTGTGGGTTTTTTTTCTGTGTGAAGGACAAGAGCGCCTGCAGCTTACCCCGRAGCACTGACACTCTCCTRAAGCCAGTACATAATTGAATAACAAAACGAAGAAACCTTTTTACACATGCTATCTACAAGATACAGCCAAAACTATGTTCTTTCATTGGACGAAAGGAAGGACTTTTAAAGCCAAAATRGATGTCGTGTCAAACGCAAACCCYGTRGCAGGTGRCTCATATCACCGAAATTAGCGTCGAGTTCAGCTCATAGGAATTGTTAATATAACCCACTTGTCCGAATCTATTTTGTAATCAAATGAATCAATCCTAAAACATAATCAATCTGTCGGTCTGGTTATGTCGCAATAACATGCATTATAGAATTTTGCCCTGAAGTTAAATGTAAGATTGATTATTATAGATTAAATGAATGCTAAAAAATAAGATTATTGATCACGACCTTCCGCTTGCTCTGCCGTAATGAAATATCGGTAAAGACTATTCATTAGAGAAGTACAAAAGATTTCTTTTTTGAGGGCAAATGGCTGAGCTAACAAAGCTATAATGATTATGATCAATTTGTTGAAGGCTTCTCTACATTTTTGGGGGGAATTTTTTTGCTATTTCTTGATATTAAAGGGAGGAAACAACGTTTATATAGAGACACGTCATAAGTTCAATCATTGTTACATCAACAATAGGATAATGGTTATGCGCAGCTGAGAGCGTTATTGAAAACTTRCTAATTAAACAGTTTAATTTACAGAAAACTATATAGTGTTCCACTAGTTGTTTGCTAATAACCTTTATATCATTTGATTAACATTATTTGYAACTATAATGACTGAATACAGAGCTCCTGTGTTAAAACTACCCATATGTGATGTTCGGTCATGGAAGCAAGACTTGAGCTGCTATATGAAGCATTGACTCTACGATGGATGCTACTGATTCACAGGTTTCCTACAGCGCTAAGCTTGTTTTCTCGATGCAGCCATGAAAAAATTGGGTAAGTACACCTCCTTTCTTGGTGTTAAGGGACTAGTCAACCACTATCAAAGTATAACTAGACTCCACCCGTATAAAATTTTTAAAGTGTTTGATCAATGTTTGGAAAACGAGTAATTCAAAGATACAATTCTTTAAGGAATGTCCATAATACAAATGATTAGTCGGACAGCATTTCATGCTTCTTAGATTACTATCTGCTTCTAAATTCTTTGTTAATTTTTTCAATGCTAAATTCCCAATGGCAAAAGGTTAGTCTTTAATACAGCACTTATTAAYCTATGTTTTTTTCAAGAAGTAAAGACAACGAAAACAAAGTCTCGTATGCAACTTAGTGCTCCTGAGAGATGCGAATTTCCTTCAAAGACGTTCTGCC